CACCCCCCCTTCTTATTAACCCATCACCACCCCATTGAGGTGCTTCCATATAGGACCCAACCCCCTTGTGCCATTGATCCCTATGGATCTGATGCTTGGTTTCAATGCAATTCCACTTCCTCATTCCCACCTCCTTTTAGCTCCTCACCCCCTCAGCATCCCAATTCCCCCCCCCCTTCCTTTTAAGCCATCCCCACCCCATTGAGGTGCTTCCATATAGGATCCAAGCCCCTTGTGCCATTGATCCCTATGGAGCTGCTGGTTGGTTTCAATGCAATTCCAAGCCTCCACTTCCTCATTCCCTCCTTTTTTTAGCTCACACCCTCGGCATTAGGATTCAAACCCCCTTCCTATTAACCCATCCCCACCCCATTGAGGTGCTTCCATGTATGACCCCCCCCTTGTGCCATTGATCCCTATGGATCTGATGCTTGGTTTCAATGCAATTCCACCTCCTCATTCCCACCTCCTTTTAGCTCCTCACCCCCTCAGCATCCAGATTCACCCCCCCTTCCTATTAACCCATCACCACCCCATTGAAGCGCATCCATATAGGACCCAACCCCTTGGGCCATTGATCCCTATGGATCTGATGCTTGGCTTCGATGCAATTCCAAGCCTCCATTCCCTTCTTCCCAACTCCTTTCAGCTCATCCCAACGCCAGGCTTCACCCCCCCTTCTTATTAACCCATTCCCACCCCATTGAGGCGCTTCCATGTAGGACCCACCCCCCTTGTGCCATTGATCCCTATGGAGCTGCTGGTTGGGTTCAATGCAATTCCAAGCCTCCATTCCCTTCTTCCCAACTCCTTTCAGCTCGTCCCAGCCCCACTCTTCACCCCCCCTTCCTTTTAACCCATCCCCACCCCATTGAGGTGCTTCCATATAGGACCCAACCCCCTTGTGCCATTGATCCCTATGGATCTGATGCTTGGTTTCAATGCAATTCCACCTCCTCATTCCCACCTCCTTTTAGCTCCTCACCCCCTCAGCATCCAAATTCCTCCCCCCTTCCTATTAACCCATCCCCACCCCATTGAAGCGCATCCATATAGGACCCAACCCCTAGTGCCATTGATCCCTATGGATCTGATGCTTGGCTTCGATGCAATTCCAAGCCTCCATTCCCTTTTTCCCAACACCTTTCAGCTCATCCCAACCCCAGGCTTCACCCCCCCTTCCTGTTAACCCATCCCCACCCCATTGAGGTGCTTCCATATAGGACCCACCCCCCTTGTGCCATTGATCCCTATGGAGCTGCTGGTTGGGTTCAATGCAATTCCAAGCCTCCACTTCCTCATTCCCACCTCCTTTTAGGTCCTCACTCCCTCAGCATCAGGATTCAACCCCCCCTTCCTGTCACCTGCACCCATAACCAACGCATTGAGACCGTTCCATGTAGGACCCAACCCCCTTTCCCCATTGATCCCTATGGCTGACCCCTATGGATCTGATGCTTGGTTTCAATGCAATTCCACCTCCTCATTCCCACCTCCTTTTAGCTCGTCACCCCCTCAGCATCCAAATTCCCCCCCCCTTCCTATTAACCCATCCCCACCCCATTGAAGCGCATCCATATAGGACCCAACCCCTAGTGCCATTGATCCCTATGGATCTGATGCTTGGCTTCGATGCAATTCCAAGCCTCCATTCCCTTTTTCCCAACACCTTTCAGCTCATCCCAGCCCCACTCTTCACCCCCCCTTCTTATTAACCCATCCCCACCCCATTGAGGCGCTTCCATGTATGACCCCCCCCTTGTGCCATTGATCCCTATGGATCTGATTCTTGGTTTCAATGCAATTCCACCTCCTCATTCCCACCTCCTTTTAGCTCCTCACCCCCTCAGCATCCAGATTCACCCCCCCTTCTTATTAACCCATCACCACCCCATTGAGGCGCTTCCATATAGGACCCAACCCCTAGTGCCATTGATCCCTATGGATCTGATGCTTGGCTTCGATGCAGTTCCAAGCCTCCATTCCCTTTTTCCCAACTCCTTTCAGCTCATCCCAACCCCAGGCTTCACCCCCCCTTCCTTTTAACCCATCACCACCCCATTGAGGTGCTTCCATATAGGACCCAACCCCCTTGTGCCATTGATCCCTATGGATCTGATGCTTGGTTTCAATGCAATTCCACTTCTTCATTCCCACCTCCTTTTAGCTCCTCACCCCCTTAGCATCCAGATTCACCCCCCGTTCTTATTAACCCATCCCCACCCCATTGAGGTGCTTCCATATAGGATCCAAGCCCCTTGTGCCATTGATCCCTATGGAGCTGCTGGTTGGGTTCAATGCAATTCCAAGCCTCCACTTCCTCATTCCCACCTTCTTTTAGCTCCTCACCCCCTCAGCATCCGAATTCCCCCCCCCTTCCTATTAACCCATCCCCACCCCATTGAAGCGCATCCATATAGGACCCAACCCCCTTGTGCCATTGATCCCTATGGATCTGATGCTTGGCTTCGATGCAATTCCACACCTCCATTCCCTTCTTCCCAACTCCTTTTAGGTTATCCCAACCCAAGCTTCACCCCCCGTTTGCTGTTAACCCATCCCCACCCCATTGAGGTGCTTCCATATAGGACCCACCCCCCTTGTGCCATTGATCCCTATGGAGCTGCTGGTTGGGTTCAATGCAATTCCAAGCCTCTATTCCCTTCTTCCCAACACCTTTCAGCTCATCCCAACCCCAGGCTTCACCCCCCCTTCCTTTTAAGCCATCACCACCCCATTGAGGTGCTTCCATATAGGACCCAACCCCCTTGTGCCATTGATCCCTATGGAACTGATGCTTGGTTTCAATGCAGTTCCACTTCCTCATTCCCACCTTCTTTTAGCTCCTCACACCCTCAGCATCCGGATTCACCCCCCCTTCTTATTAACCCATCCCCACCCCATTGAGGTGCTTCCATATAGGACCCAACCCCCTTGTGCCATTGATCCCTATGGATCTGATGCTTGGTTTCAATGCAATTCCACCTCTTCATTCCCACCTTCTTTTAGCTCCTCACCCCCTCAGCATCCCAATTCCTCCCCCCTTCCTTTTAAGCCATCACCACCCCATTGAGGTGCTTCCATATAGGACCCAACCCCCTTGTGCCATTGATCCCTATGGATCTGATGCTTGGCTTCGATGCAATTCCACACCTCCATTCCCTTCTTCCCAACTCCTTTTAGGTTATCCCAACCCAAGCTTCACCCCCCGTTTCCTGTTAACCCATCCCCACCCCATTGAGATGCTTCCATATAGGACCCACCCCCCTTGTGCCATTGATCCCTATGGAGCTGCTGGTTGGGTTCAATGCAATTCCAAGCCTCCATTCCCTTCTTCCCAACTCCTTTCAGCTCATCCCAACCCCAGGCTTCACCCCCCCTTCTTATTAACCCATCCCCACCCCATTGAGGTGCTTCCATGTATGACCCCCCCCTTGTGCCATTGATCCCTATGGAACTGATGCTTGGTTTCAATGCAATTCCACCTCCTCATTCCCACCTCCTTTTAGCTCCTCACCCCCTCAGCATCCAGATTCACCCCCCCTTCTTATTAACCCATCACCACCCCATTGAGGCGCTTCCATATAGGATCCAAGCCCCTTGTGCCATTGATCCCTATGGAGCTGCTGGTTGGGTTCAATGCAATTCCAAGCCTCCACTTCCTCATTCCCACCTCCTTTTAGCTCCTCACCCCCTCAGCATCCGAATTCCCCCCCCCTTCCTATTAACCCATCCCCACCCCATTGAAGCGCATCCATATAGGACCCAACCCCCTTGTGGCATTGATCCCTATGGATCTGATGCTTGGCTTCGATGCAATTCCACACCTCCATTCCCTTCTTCCCAACTCCTTTTAGGTTATCCCAACCCAAGCTTCACCCCCCGTTTCCTGTTAACCCATCCCCACCCCATTGAGGTGCTTCCATATAGGACCCACCCCCCTTGTGCCATTGATCCCTATGGAGCTGCTGGTTGGGTTCAATGCAATTCCAAGCCTCCATTCCCTTCTTCCCAACTCCTTTCAGCTCATCCCAACCCCAGGCTTCACCCCCCCTTCCTTTTAAGCCATCACCACCCCATTGAGGTGCTTCCATATAGGACCCAACCCCCTTGTGCCATTGATCCCTATGGAACTGATGCTTGGTTTCAATGCAATTCCACCTCCTCATTCCCACCTCCTTTTAGCTCCTCACCCCCTCAGCATCCAAATTCCCCCCCTTCCTATTAACCCATCCCTACCCCATTGAAGCGCATCCATATAGGACCCAACCCCTTGTGCCATTGATCCCTATGGAACTGATGCTTGGTTTCAATGCAATTCCACCTCCTCATTCCCACCTCCTTTTAGCTCCTCACCCCCTCAGCATCCAAATTCCCCCCCTTCCTATTAACCCATCCCCACCCCATTGAAGCGCATCCATATAGGACCCAACCCCTTGTGCCATTGATCCCTAAGGAACTGATGCTTGGTTTCAATGCAATTCCACCTCCTCATTCCCACCTTCTTTTAGCTCCTCACCCCCTCAGCATCCGAATTCCCCCCCCCTTCCTTTTAACCCATCCCCACCCCATTGAGGCGCTTCCATATAGGATCCAAGCCCCTTGTGCCATTGATCCCTATGGATCTGATGCTTGGCTTCGATGCAATTCCAAGCCTCCATTCCCTTCTTCCCAACTCCTTTTAGGTTATCCCAACCCAAGCTTCACCCCCCCCTTCCTGTTAACCCATCCCCACCCCATTGAGATGCTTCCATATAGGACCCACCCCCCTTGTGCCATTGATCCCTATGGAGCTGCTGGTTGGGTTCAATGCAATTCCAAGCCTCCATTCCCTCGTTCCCACCTTCTTTTAGCTCCTCACCCCCTCAGCATCCAAATTCCCCCCCTTCCTATTAACCCATCCCCACCCCATTGAAGCGCATCCATATAGGACCCCCCTCCTTTTCCCCACTGCCCCCTCCGTTCCCTGACCCCCTCCGTCCCCGTTCTCCCCCCCGCAGTGCACCAACGGGCACCTGATGTGCGCCGGGTGCTTCATCCACCTGCTGGCGGACGCTCGGCTCAAGGAGGAGCAGGCGACGTGTCCCAACTGCCGCTGCGAGATCAGCAAGAGCCTGTGCTGCAGGAACCTGGCCGTGGAGAAGGCCGTGAGCGAGCTGCCCTCCGAGTGCGCCTTCTGCACCCGCCAGTTCCCCCGCTCCCTGCTCGACCGGCACCAGAAGGACGAGTGTCAGGATAGGTACCGGCGGAGGGATGCAGGGGAATGGGGATGGGGATCGAAGGATGGATGGGGAGGGAGAGGGGAGGTGGGTTGGTAACAGCAGGGGAGGGGGTGGAGAGCTGGAGTTGTGTTTTCAACAGGGGATGGGGACCCATGGATGGATGGGGAGGGAGAGAAGGAGCTGTGTTTCCTACAGGGAATGGGGATGGGGATGGAGAGCAGGAGCTGTGTTTCCAACAGGGAATGGGGATGGGGAGGGAGAGCAGGGGCTGTGTTTCCAACAGGGAATGGGGATGGGGACACATGGGTGGGTGGATGGATGGGGAGGGAGAGGGGAGGTGGGTTGGTAACAGCAGGGGAAGGGGGTGGAGAGCTGGAGTTGTGTTTTCAACAGGGGATGGGGACCCATGGATGGATGGGGAGGGAGAGCAGGAGCTGTGTTTCCAACAGGGAATGGGGATGGGGATGGAGAGCAGGAGCTGTGTTTCCAGCAGGGAATGGGGATGGGGATGGAGAGCAGGAGCTGTGTTTCCAGCAGGGAATGGGGATGGAGAGCAGGAGCTGTGTTTCCAACAGGGAATGGGGATGGGGAGCAGGAGCTGTGTTTCTAACAGGGAATGGGGATGGAGATGGAGAGCAGGAGCTGTGTTTCCAGCAGGGAATGGGGATGGAGAGCAGGAGCTGTGTTTCCAACAGGGAATGGGGATGGGGATGGAGAGCAGGAGCTGTGTTTCTAACAGGGAACGGTGCTGGCCTGTGTTTCCAACAGGGAATGGGGATGGGGATGGAGAGCAGGAGCTGTGTTTCCAACAGGGGATGGGGACCCATGGATGGATGGGGAGGGAGAGAAGGAGCTGTGTTTCCAACAGGGAATGGGGATGGGGATGGAGAGCAGGAGCTGTGTTTCCAACAGGGAATGGGGATGGAGAGCAGGAGCTGTGTTTCCAACAGGGAATGGGGATGGGGATGGAGAGCAGGAGCTGTGTTTCCTACAGGGAATGGGGATGGGGATGGAGAGCAGGAGCTGTGTTTCCAACAGGGAATGGGGATGGGGAGGGAGAGCAGGAGCTGTGTTTCTAACAGGGAATGGGGATGGGGATGGAGAGCAGGAGCTGTGTTTCCAACAGGGAATGGGGATGGGGATGGAGAGCAGGAGCTGTGTTTCCAACAGGGAATGGGGATGGGGATGGAGAGCAGGAGCTGTGTTTCTAACAGGGAATGGGGATGGGGATGGAGAGCAGGAGCTGTGTTTCCAACAGGGAATGGGGATGGGGATGGAGAGCAGGAGCTGTGTTTCCTGCAGGGAATGGGGATGGGCTGGGTTCCCAACAGGGAATGGGGATGGGGATGGAGAGCAGGAGCTGTGTTTCTAACAGGGAATGGGGATGGGATGGGCTGGGTTCCCAACAGGGAATGGGGATGGAGAGCAGGAGCTGTGTTTCTAACAGGGAACGGTGCTGGCCTGTGTTTCCAACAGGGAATGGGGATGGGGATGGAGAGCAGGAGCTGTGTTTCTAACAGGGAATGGGGATGGGGATGGAGAGCAGGAGCTGTGTTTCCAACAGGGAATGGGGATGGGGATGGAGAGCAGGAGCTGTGTTTCCAACAGGGAATGGGGATGGGGATGGAGAGCAGGAGCTGTGTTTCCTACAGGGAATGGGGATGGGGATGGAGAGCAGGAGCTGTGTTTCCAACAGGGAATGGGGATGGGGATGGAGAGCAGGAGCTGTGTTTCCAACAGGGAATGGGGATGGAGAGCAGGAGCTGTGTTTCCAACAGGGAATGGGGATGGGGATGGAGAGCAGGAGCTGTGTTTCCTGCAGGGAATGGGGATGGGGATGGAGAGCAGGAGCTGTGTTTCTAACAGAAAATGGGGATGGGGATGGAAAGCAGGAGCTGTGTTTCCAACAGGGGATGGGGACCCATGGATGGATGGGGAGGGAGAGCAGGAGCTGTGTTTCCAACAGGGAATGGGGATGGGGATGGAGAGCAGGAGCTGTGTTTCCTACAGGGAATGGGGATGGGGATGGAGAGCAGGAGCTGTGTTTCTAACAGAAAATGGGGATGGGGATGGAAAGCAGGAGCTGTGTTTCCAACAGGGGATGGGGACCCATGGATGGATGGGGAGGGAGAGCAGGAGCTGTGTTTCCAACAGGGAATGGGGATGGGGATGGAGAGCAGGAGCTGTGTTTCCAACAGGGAATGGGGATGGAGAGCAGGAGCTGTGTTTCTAACAGGGAATGGGGATGGGGATGGAGAGCAGGAGCTGTGTTTCTAACAGGGAATGGGGATGGGGATGGAGAGCAGGAGCTGTGTTTCCAACAGGGAATGGGGATGGGGAGGGAGAGCAGGAGCTGTGTTTCTAACAGGGAATGGGGATGGGGATGGAGAGCAGGAGCTGTGTTTCCAACAGGGAATGGGGATGGGGATGGAGAGCAGGAGCTGTGTTTCCAACAGGGAATGGGGATGGGGATGGAGAGCAGGAGCTGTGTTTCTAACAGGGAATGGGGATGGGGATGGAGAGCAGGAGCTGTGTTTCCAACAGGGAATGGGGATGGGGATGGAGAGCAGGAGCTGTGTTTCCTGCAGGGAATGGGGATGGGCTGGGTTCCCAACAGGGAATGGGGATGGGGATGGAGAGCAGGAGCTGTGTTTCTAACAGGGAATGGGGATGGGATGGGCTGGGTTCCCAACAGGGAATGGGGATGGAGAGCAGGAGCTGTGTTTCTAACAGGGAACGGTGCTGGCCTGTGTTTCCAACAGGGAATGGGGATGGGGATGGAGAGCAGGAGCTGTGTTTCTAACAGGGAATGGGGATGGGGATGGAGAGCAGGAGCTGTGTTTCCAACAGGGAATGGGGATGGGGATGGAGAGCAGGAGCTGTGTTTCCAACAGGGAATGGGGATGGGGATGGAGAGCAGGAGCTGTGTTTCCTACAGGGAATGGGGATGGGGATGGAGAGCAGGAGCTGTGTTTCCAACAGGGAATGGGGATGGGGATGGAGAGCAGGAGCTGTGTTTCCAACAGGGAATGGGGATGGAGAGCAGGAGCTGTGTTTCTAACAGGGAACGTTGCTGGCCTGTGTTTCCAACAGGGAATGGGGATGGGGATGGGGATGGAGAGCAGGAGCTGTGTTTCCAACAGGGAATGGGGATGGGCTGGGTTCCCAACAGGGAAAGCTGCTGGGGATGGAGAGCAGGAGCTGTGTTTCTAACAGGGTATGGGGATGGAGAGCAGGAGCTGTGTTTCCAACAGGGAATGGTGCTGGGATGGGTTCCCAACAGGGAAAGCTGCTGGGGATGGAGAGCAGGAGCTGTGTTTCCAACAGGGAATGGGGATGGGATGGGCTGGGTTCCCAACAGGGAATGGGGATGGGGATGGAGAGCAGGAGCTGTGTTTCTAACAGGGAACGGTGCTGGCCTGTGTTTCCAACAGGGAATGGGGATGGGGATGGAGAGCAGGAGCTGTGTTTCCAACAGGGGATGGGGATGGAGAGCAGGAGCTGTGTTTCCTACAGGGAATGGGGATGGGGATGGAGAGCAGGAGCTGTGTTTCCAACAGGGAATGGGGATGGGGATGGAGAGCAGGAGCTGTGTTTCCAACAGGGGATGGGGACCCATGGATGGATGGGGAGGGAGAGCAGGAGCTGTGTTTCCAACAGGGAATGGGGATGGAGAGCAGGAGCTTTGTTTCCAACAGGGAATGGGGATGGAGAGCAGGAGCTGTGTTTCCTACAGGGAATGGGGATGGGGATGGAGAGCAGGAGCTGTGTTTCTAACAGGGGATGGGGATGGGGATGGAGAGCAGGAGCTGTGTTTCCAACAGGGAACAGTGCAGGGCTGGGTTCCCAACAGGGAATGGTGCTGGGGATGGAGAGCAGGAGCTGTGTTTCCTACAGGGAATGGAGCTGGGATGGGTTCCCAACAGGGAATGGGGATGGGGATGGAGAGCAGGAGCTGTGTTTCTAACAGGGAACGGTGCTGGCCTGTGTTTCCAACAGGGAATGGGGATGGGGATGGAGAGCAGGAGCTGTGTTTCCAACAGGGGATGGGGACCCATGGATGGATGGGGAGGGAGAGCAGGAGCTGTGTTTCTAACAGGGAATGGGGATGGGGATGGAGAGCAGGAGCTGTGTTTCCAACAGGGAATGGGGATGGGGAGGGAGAGCAGGAGCTGTGTTTCTAACAGGGAATGGGGATGGGGATGGAGAGCAGGAGCTGTGTTTCCAACAGGGAATGGGGATGGGGATGGAGAGCAGGAGCTGTGTTTCCAACAGGGAATGGGGATGGGGATGGAGAGCAGGAGCTGTGTTTCTAACAGGGAATGGGGATGGGGATGGAGAGCAGGAGCTGTGTTTCCAACAGGGAATGGGGATGGGGATGGAGAGCAGGAGCTGTGTTTCCTGCAGGGAATGGGGATGGGCTGGGTTCCCAACAGGGAATGGGGATGGGGATGGAGAGCAGGAGCTGTGTTTCTAACAGGGAATGGGGATGGGATGGGCTGGGTTCCCAACAGGGAATGGGGATGGAGAGCAGGAGCTGTGTTTCTAACAGGGAACGGTGCTGGCCTGTGTTTCCAACAGGGAATGGGGATGGGGATGGAGAGCAGGAGCTGTGTTTCTAACAGGGAATGGGGATGGGGATGGAGAGCAGGAGCTGTGTTTCCAACAGGGAATGGGGATGGGGATGGAGAGCAGGAGCTGTGTTTCCAACAGGGAATGGGGATGGGGATGGAGAGCAGGAGCTGTGTTTCCTACAGGGAATGGGGATGGGGATGGAGAGCAGGAGCTGTGTTTCCAACAGGGAATGGGGATGGGGATGGAGAGCAGGAGCTGTGTTTCCAACAGGGAATGGGGATGGAGAGCAGGAGCTGTGTTTCCAACAGGGAATGGGGATGGGGATGGAGAGCAGGAGCTGTGTTTCCAACAGGGAATGGGGATGGGGAGGGAGAGCAGGAGCTGTGTTTCCAGCAGGGAATGGGGATGGGATGGGCTGGGTTCCCAACAGGGAATGGGGATG